TCTGTAAGTTGTTATTACAATTTATTTTTTATCTCAACTCACTTATTCTAAAATTAATTAAGGTTTTTAGTTGAGATAAAAAGTCAATGGCACGAGCGGGATTCGAACCCACGATGTTCGGCTAGATACTCCGCTGCTCTACCACTTGAGCTATCGTGACCTCGATCCACTCGGACACTAACTTCCCATCTCAACCAAACCTTTAGAATTTTCCCTCCTTTTTGCCATTTTTCAAATGTCGTGTAACCTATTTCATTCTCGGCGACAAATGAAATAGCCACGGAGATCTTTATTGAAGGATAATTCATTTCAAACTTATTAAATTCACTAGTTTCGGGGTCCGCTTGACCAATTAATATCATATAATTAATTAAGGTTTTTAGTTGTCGAATCGTGCCATTGACTTTTTTATCACAAATAAAAACCTTAATTATTTGTATGATATTAATTGGTCAAGCGGACCACGAAACTAGTGAACTTATTATAAAAAGTGTATAAACTTATGTATATAAAAAACATCTGTTGGAAAACAACTTTCATAAAAAATTGATTAAATCAACACAACAAAATATCATTAAAGAAGAAGATTGAACAAGTCTTTCAAAACATATTAATGAGACTAACCACACAGTGGATTTACAAAAAGTAAAAATAACGGAAAAAGTTAATAGGAAAATAATGAAAATATTAATGTTAATACTGCAACATTTTTGGTATATTCTTTTTGTGTAAGGAAGAAGAATGAAGGAAGAAAGAAAAGTTGAGATGAAAAGTTAGCGTCAAGAGCTAGCCGAAGTTCGTGGGTTCCAAACCCGCTCGTGACACGAAATTTTTCATCTTCAACCAAGCCCTTACATAAAATGAATATTTCATTGAAAGAAGTAATTTATTCAATTAGATCACTTGTGGATGGTGGAATTGGAAAATGGATAAATATTATATATATATATATATATATATGTATGAAAAAAAAAAAAATTCATTATTTAAATAATAGTGAACAAAAATTAAAAAAAAACGTCAAAATTGTATAATAAACGTCTAAAAAAATAAATGATTACCAATGAACATAATCCATTGGTAAACTTGTTGACGAATCATAATGTCATTAGAAACTAACTTTGCAAATCGTAGTCTATTTTTAAAATTGGAAAGTTCAGTGTTTCATGAAATTTGCGATGAAGTTACTTTTTTCAGTAGTTAACATTTTTCTTGAATATGTGATGGTTTATTTTTTATGACAACTAATTAAGGTTTTTAGTTGAGATGAAAAAAAAGGTTAATGGCACGAGACGGATTCGAAGTGGATCGAGGTCACGATAGCTCTGGTGGTAGAGCAGCGGCGTACCTAGCCGAAGGCCGTGGGTTCGAATCCCACTCGTGACGCTGACGTTTTATCTCAACTAAAAACCTTAATTCATTGAAATATATTAATTGGTGACGCAGACCACCAAAAATAGTGAATACAATATATTAGGTTCATTTGTAATCATTTATTTTATTACATGTTTATAAAAATTTATAAGCATGTGTATTTTATTTTTGCTTACTAACTTTATAATAATGAATTTATATATATAACCTTATGAGTTTTCCCTCCTTTATTATATATAAATAAAAATAAAAATTCATTATTATAAAGTTAGTAAGCAAAAATAAAATACACATGCTTATAAATTATTATAAACATGTAAAAAAATAAAAGACTACAAATGAACATAATATATTGTATTCACTATTTTTGGTGGTCTGCTTCACCAATTAATATATTTCAATTAATTAAGGTTTTTAGTTGAGATAAAACGTCAGCGTCACGAGCGGGATTCGAACCCACGGCCTTCGGCTAGGTACGCCGCTGCTCTACCACTTGAGCTATCGTGACCTCGATCCACTTCGAATCCCTCTAATTAATATAAATATAAATATATAGGTTTTTAGTTGAAATGAAAAAAAGTTAATGGCACGAGCGGGATTCGAACCCACGACCTTCGGCTAGATACGCCGCTGCTCTACCACTTGAGCTATCGTGACCTCGATCCACTCGGACACTAACTTCCCATCTCAACACCCCCTTTTGAATTTTCCCTCCCTTTTGCCATTTTTCAAATGTCGTGTAATCTATTTAATTATCGGCGACAAAAATATATTAATTTAAAAATAATTTCCAAGAAATAAACATAAAAATATTCAAATATTAAATGAAGAAAATGATTTCATTGAGATCGTAATATTTCTTGAAGTCAATAATAAAAATTAAGTATTGTTTCCATTGAATACAAATAAATGCCAAACGAGCTGTATTTTTTTCTATTTTGAGAATTAATTAATTAATTTTTTAATTAACGACTGAAATGATTTTTTTTAAAGAATTGCAATTTTGCAAAGCGTCGAGTAATTCATTAAACAAATAGAAATGATGAATGATCGAGTGAGTGCGGTGTTCAATCCTATTTTATAAAAGGTAGTTCCTTCTCACAGTAAGTTGTTTTCCCATGATACGGGTTTCGAGCCCTTAGCTCATCATCAGGTCGAAGGATTTCTACAACTGATGAGCTAAGGGCTCGAAATCCGGGTCGTTGGAAAATAACTTACTGTGAGTAGAAATTATCTATTTAAAAAAAATCATTAAACAAATTCCTTCAAGCTTCGCCTCCATGAAACCAATAATAAACAATGATTCACGTCAAAGTTTTCATTTTTCAGTTGGTTAGTCAAATGGTCTATATTTAGGGTTAATATTTTGAATTTTTTTCATATTTGATGAAAGAAGGTCGAGAAGAAAAAGCAGCCTCACGAGCGGGATTCGTACCCAGACCCACGGCTTTATCTCGGTGCTCTACCACTTGTCAAGATCAAGTGAAAAGCAGCTTTATTGGAACTTAAAAAGATCTCTTGTACAATTACGCACTAATTTTTTTAAGGGTAATTTTTTTGAATGAATTATCTGAAATTCACAAATTTCTATGTATAAGAAGCTTCGATTTTTTTAAATAACATATAAGTTCTGTTAGAGTATACGGGTAAACAAGCATTAGTAAACATTTATAGATGAGTTTATTATTCATTAAACTATTACATTTTATTACAGCAAAATTGATACCATACAAAACAGTAATAACGTTAAATGAACGTCAAAATTCAATATCTTACGTGTACACTGAATAAATTTACATACTGTTACAACACGGTGGTTAAATCATCATACAAAACACTCCATTCTCATTTATTATTTATATTTATTATTTTTAAATTTTTTTGTATAGAATATAATACAGTTAGCTATTTACATGCATCATATTTGACTCACAGCGTTGGTTCACGTACAGTTTAAAAACACTTTACACTTACTTTTCACCTATGCCCGTTTCAAAAGTCTTTTTAAAAAATAAACGTTTTTTTGTTATTTTTTGCCCGACACATTCCATCGGAACCTCTGAGCACTGCGTTAACATTTAACAGATAAACAAATTTCACGTGAAAACTATCTCACGAGGCCATTTTCACTAGATTTATTTCAATTAAAGTAGACAAATGGTAAAGCAATCCAATAAGACATAGTTTTGCACAATGGTTATAAAACCAACCCTAGGACGTCATGTAGAAACAATTATTTGCTTTCTCCTTTTTCCTAAATTTGGTCAGACATTAAATGCTAAATTTTATATACATTTATATAAAATAAATATTAAATATAATTCCACAAGTCGTATTTTTTCTTACAATGTATACTATGTTTTTATATAACATTGAAACATATTATGCCGAGTAACTATTTCTATATTAAAATGCATCACATTTACTGAACAAAAAACTAACAATTTTTCTCGAATAAAAACACTTATTGAGAAAAATAGTAGAAAACATTGTATTGGCAACGTCTTTTGTTTTTCATTTTTTATTTAACACAAATAGTATTCTATTTAATAATTTAGAAAAAAGAACTAGAAAAAAAACCAATATATAATATTTTAACAGTGATAATTCTAAGCTTAAAACATCACCAGCTTTTAACTTAATTACATTTACACATTAGTACGAGAAAATTTACATTTGCAAAAAATAACCCGACAATAATATCAAGCATTTTTGAATAAGAAGATAGAAAAAAGAAATTTTGTATACTAGATTTCCAAAATTGCATTTTTGTCCGATTATACATCTGGCTTTGGTGTTTATATTTTTTTTTTCATTAGGAATTTTTAAATATATTTCCATGTATTACTGACAAAAAGACGAAGTCATAACAATTACAATGGGCACGTAATTGTTAGGATGTGATTAGGCCATTTTTGAAATTGTACTTAGTAACAGTACAAATTTGAAATTCCTCGTAGGATGTTTTTTTTATTAAAGTAAATCAGTTTAACATTTGATGTTATCATAAAACTGATTGCTACTGTGTTTTCATTTATATAATGAACACGTTAATTTTAAAACTCATCTCCTATCTAGATTATTTATTATTCAATTAATTAAGGTTTTTATCTGAAATAAAAAATTCAGTTTCACAAGCGGGATTCGAACCCACGACCTTCGGCTTCATACCCAGCTACCCTAACCCTTCAGCTATAGTGACTTCGATAGCTTGAAGTCACGATAGCTCAGGTGGTAGAGTAGCGGCGTATCAAGCCGAAGGTCGTGGGTTCGAATCCCGCTCGTGACACTAAATTTTTTATCTCAACTAAAACCCTTAATTAATTGAATGATATTAATTGGTCAAGCGGACCACGAAAAATAGTGAATTATTAATTATATTTACTAAAGTGAATAAGGATTAGAAGAAAAATTCAGAAATGATTCAAATGGTGATTCATAACTATTACTGAATTTACATACACTATGCCGATTTGACTTTATTTATTAATCTTTTTGTTTATACGCAAAGTTTGTTTTGTAATAAATTTTTATAATAAATAAAAATAAATATTTAAAGTTTGTTGTTAATAAAAATTTGTTATTTTTTTAGAATATTTATTCTTTATTTAATTTTGTAATATGTGTTACGAATTAAAAATTGGAATAGTCTGAAAATATTTGGTATTTCAGTTTGAAAAAAGCTTAAATTTTTAATGAGGCCTTATCGAGTTATTTGAGTGAACATGCCTGTTTGGAAGTCCAGTATAAAAAATACATTAATGGATTTGAACTTGAAAGGGAGAGGTTTTTAATTTTTTTAAAAATTACGTTCCATAGTATAAATTTATATCACCTTAAGGCCTATCCCTTATAAATTACACAAAAATAGATACTTCAATTAAAATATTTTAGAACTGAAATATGGCAGACCGGGCAGGTTCAGACGGGTCAAGTTGGTACACAAAAACACATACTTCACGTCAATCCCACCCTGTTTAGGCGATGCTTTCCCATCAAGTGATGTACAAGTAGTAGATGAGAAGTTGGCTGATGAGAAGGGCAGGAGCGGAAAAGACGTAAGACGTGCTTGGGGCGAGGGAAGCCAGCGCGCTTGCAGCTGCTTCCAGGCAGTGGCGAAATTCTGAAAATTCCAGCCTTGTCACGGCGCAGAAATGGGTCTGGGCACAGCTGGCGTCGCAGCCGCCGTTCTGAGGGCTGCTGTACAACCGGACAGCGTTTGCTTCGTAGTATCTGTAACAAAAACAAAAATTCCTATAGAAAAAACGGAGAGATCACCTTACTATAAAACCTGAAACAAGCAAGAATTTCCTCGTCAGAAAAACCGAATTTTTGAATTATTAAATTCACTAGTTTTCGTGGTCAGCTTGACCAATTAATATATTTCAATTAAATAAGGTTTGTAGTTAAGATAAAAGTCAGTGTCACGAGCGGGTGCTCTACCACTTGAGCTATCGTGACTTCGATCCACTTGAATACTAACTTCCCACCTCAACCCCACCTTTTGTATTTTGAACAGCCCCGCCTTGAAAAATGGCAAAAAGGAGGGAAAATTCAAAAGGTGGGGTTGAGATAGGAAGTTAGTACCGAGTTGATCGAAGTCACGATACCTCAAGTGGTTAGAGCAACGACTTATTTAGCCGAAGGTCGTGGGTTCGAAACCAGCTCGTTGCACTGACGTTTTCATTTCAACTAAAACCTTACACAAAAATATTAATTAATTAAAAGAAACAATTTGGTCAATAGACCACTAAATATAATGGATTTAATATGTAGAATAATATAAAGAGAAATAGGAAAAGTAGTAAAAATAAAATAAAAAGTCGTGACGGTTTAATTTATATAGAAGCATTTATTGAAGAACAACATAGTAGAATAATGGAAATTAAAAATTTAGAAAACATTCTGGTAAAGGTTGAAAAAAATTAAACACCTCAAAAGGCGTAAAGAGGCACGCATAAAACCTAAGCCTAGGAATAAAATTAAAATATTAAATTATCACAAAGCCTTACTACAGCAATAAAGGAGTAGGCTCATTAAATGTCAACGTAATTTTTTAATAGAGGCTATCTGTATAAAAAATAGCAAGAATTTTCGACTCGAATTATCTACGCTAGTGGTTTTGGGTTCGAAACTTGTCATAGTCCATCGCTTTTTCATAGAAAATAATCCAATATATTTAGTGGTCTATTGACCAAATTACTTCTTTCAATTAATTATTTTTTTATCTAAGGTGTTGGTTGAGATGAAAAAGTTAGTGTTTCAAAGAGGTGTTGGCGTCAGAGTGGATCGACGTCGCACTAGCTCAAGTGGTTAGAGGAGCGGCGTATTGAGCCGAAGTTTGTGGGTTCGAATCCCGCTCGTGACACTAACTTTTTCATTTCAACCTAAACCACGTGGAAAAAGATTAATTAATAGAAAATAGAATTTTAGAATTATTGTAACACTAACTTCCCATATCAATCTACCTTTCGAAACTTCCCTCCTATTTTGCCATTTAACAAATGTCGTGTAATAGAATCGATCAGATAGATGGGAAGTTAGTGTCCGAGTGGATCGAAGTTACAATAGCTCAAGTGGTAGAGCAACGGCGTATTTAGCTGAAGGTTTTGGGATCGAATTTCGCTCATGGCGCTGACTTTTTTTATTTCAACCCAATACCATACATAAAGATTAGTTAATTGAAATAAGTTATTGTTAAGATTATATATCGTTTTAGAAATATTTATCTAACGAGGAATTCTATTAAGTCTAAAGAACATGAAAGGAAAAAGCATACGATACGACTTGGAGATTTGGTATTCTTGATTGGGGTTTAAGAGGGAACATAGCTAAATTTTTAAAAAGCTTGCTCGAAATGAGGAGATTCCGGGTGAGATTAGGTACCGCCTTATCTAGTACGTTCATTCAAGAATACGGGATTCCTCAGGGTTCGGTTCTGAGTGTCACTTTATTTGCCATTGCGGTAAACGGTCTGGCTGATAATATTGGGTTGTCCGGAAAATAATGCAGGATTTTGGTATTAAACAAAAAAAAAGAAACTAGTTACTTTAAAGCAATGTTCTTTAATCAAAATAATTNAAACAATATCATTTGGAAGAGGATTAATAAGTGTTGACATTCATACAAATGAGTAATCCTGTAAACGTAAACAGAATATTTTATATAGATTTTTTTGAATGAAAACTTAAAATCCTGCATTATTTTCCGGACAACCCAATATAAATGATCATAAAGTCAGGCCTTTATGATGATCTTTGCTTTTACTTGTCTGGGAAAAATCTCCAAAACGTAGGAAGGACATTACAAAACGCCATTGACACGAAAAGCAGATGATGTGGGTTTTAAATTCTCTTTGTCCAAACCGGTATTTGTACACTTTTGTAGACTAAGAAAACATCATGAAACACCTCGGGTTTTCCTTTCTGGCGTTGAAATAAAGGAAGTCGACGATGTCAAATATTTGGGCGTTTCTTTCGACAAAGCCCTTCGATGGAAACCTCAAATAGCCAAATTGTGTAATTCAGGAAGGAAAATACTAGGCCTGATGAGATTCCTCGCTAATTACAATTGGGGAGCGAATAGAGACATTCTTTTAAGAATATTCAGCGTGTACTTAGGAGCAAAGTTTTGATACGGAGTAGCAGGTTCTTCAGCACAAATATCAACTTTAAAACCGCTAGATAGGATTTATTACCAAGGTATCAGGATTGCAACAGGGGCGTTTAGAACAAGCCCTTTATATAGTCTCTGCAATGATGCCGATGTCCTTCCTCCGGAACTTTTCATGGAGGGGGCAATTCTTAGGTCTGTTGCTAGATTTTGGTCTAAGCCTTTACATCTTCTATTTCCCTCAGTTTTCCGTAACCCTCACCAAGATATGTACTCCTTCCTAAAAACTAGGACGAGACCTTTGGGAATCCACGGTACTGAAATGTTGAGATTAAGAGGGAATACCTTGCCGGCGGTTGAGGGTTTTAAATTGCTACAATCCCACCGTGGGCATTACCTACTGCCACAATTATCCAAGATCTGGCCTTATTGAACAAAAGAGAAACACCTTCTCGGATGATCAAGGCAGAATTCTTTCGAATTTTAAATAACTATCCCAATTATAAAGTTTTTTAAACCGACGGGTCTAAAAATGAAATTGGTGTAGGGTGTGGGATATTTGCTGATGAGTATAACCTCAGCTGGTCTCTATCGAATGAGGCTAGCGGATACACAGCTGAACTTCATGCAATCAGAAGATCATTGAGCATTATAAAGGAGTCGCCAGGAATTTGTAATGCCATTATTTGCTCTGATTCGAAAAGTGGTCTCCAAGCAATCAAAAAGAATTTCTAAGTTGACCCATTGTATTCTTTCCTGTTCCCCTAATTTCTTTTGCAAAAAAAAATCAACGATATATAACTATATGCATGTACGATATCAAATGATAAATAAATTCCGCCAATAAATTTTTCTGTATCACGATTTGTAAATATTTTCCCACCCGGATTCAATACAGCCTAGGAATAAATCACCCATATTTGTACTTTGGTTGATTCATTGTCATGTTTTTTCCATCCCTGGATGTAAACAAACAAAAAAATTATACTTATTGTATAAGATATACATTTACTCAATGGTCTCGGAAGATGAAGTGGGTGTTTTCGCATTAAAAGTGTTTTCAATAAAATCAGAAGGCTCTTTACATACATATTTATTAAAGAGCTAAAATGTATATTTCGAAAATCAAATACTTTTGTTTTTTTTATTATTTAGGCCGATTTTCAAACTTTTTTAAAAATTATACGTATCAAAGAATAAGGAAAAATTACACTATTTTTAACATATTTCTAGTTAATTATTTTCGGCAGTACCGCACAATCTGCGTGATTTATGTTTTCTTAAACAGGTTTATTACGCACCTCATGAAGAGTTATTGTTAACTCACGAGTCGGTCTGTTATATGCTATTTTTTCGTCAGGGAACCTGGTGCGTTCTCTAAGTTTACGAGCTCATTTTGTTTCCTAGTTCCTTTATCTGCTTTGGGAATACTGGTGAATTAAGTTTATGGTATGTTTGATTACCTACATAAATAACCTATAAATTATTAAAAAGAAATTATAAATAAAATTCAATAAAACTATGAAATATGAATAAATTTCGGTTTAAAAATATAATATAATCCAGAGATTTTACGGATTTATCAAAGGCTTTTGATAGTGTGGATCGTCTCATTTTGGTCAGAAAACTCAAAAAACTATGTGTGGGCCAACCCATTTTGGCATAGGTGGACTCCCTTTTGTCTGAGAGATCTTTTGTTGTGAGATTTGTTGAAGGCTTATCGAAAACTGTCCACGTGGTGTACCTCAGGGCTCACATTCTGGTCCTATGTTATTCCATTTATTTTTTAATGACGTCGACTCTGCTCTCATTAATTTTTCATTTTCATTGTTAACAGAGGATTTGAATATTTATCGCCCTGTCGAATCGTTGATTGTATTCTCTTGCAAAATTGGTGGCTTTGGTGTAAGCGTAATAATTTGAAATTAAACGAAAATAAATGTAAAATTTTGAAGTTCAGCAAGAAAAAATAATTTTCGATTATGACCAATTCGTTTATAGTATTGAAGGTAATCACATTGACGAGGTAGATATTATCTCGGATCTCGGAGTTATTTTTAATAAGAATTACAATTAATTAAGGTTTTTTAGTTCAGATAAAAAAAAGCTAATGGCACGACGGGATTCGAACCCACGATCTTCGGCTAGAAACGCCGCTGCTCTACCACTTGAGCTATCGTGACCTCGATCCACTCGGACATCAACTTCCTATCTAAACCCCACCTTACGAGTTTTCCCTCCTTTTTGCCATTTTGCAAATGTCTTGTAATCGGTTTGGATTCTTGACGACAATTGAAATGGCCACGGAGAGCTTTAGTGAAGTGTACTTCATATTAATTCTTTAAATTTACTAATTTCGTGGTCCGCTTGACCAATTAATATATTACAATTAATTAATGTTGTTTAGTTGAGATAAAACAGTCAATGGACGACATTTGAAAAATGGCAAAAATGAGAGAAAATTCAAAAGGTGCGGTTGAGATGGGAGGTTGGCGTCCGACGGTATTACAAGTGGATTTTTCGAATGAAAAAAGATGATGTGGGTGGATTTATTTGCGAGAGTAGGATGGAAAAAGGGTTGTATGGTGTTGGGCGTCATGACTAGCAAGGGGAAGATGAGT